CAACATCGGTGTTCGGTTGATTGACTTGTAAGAACTGTTGCACGTTCAACGTTCAGTTCACTTGCAGCAGTAACATCTATTTATTTATTTATTGTCAGACTACGCTGGGTTCTCCACTTTATCCCCTAATGACTGATATCTTTATTCGAAAAATATACTCATAGACAATATGGAAAACCTTCTCCGGGATGAAATTACTTTTCGATTTATCGCATCAGGTGGTTACATATATAAGGTGATCATAGTACTGATATCTAATTAGATGATTACAGCGATGACAGAGGCGAGGAAAGGGAGCAAGCCAACGTGACAAGGTTAGCGGTAATCAATACTAGAGTCATGGAGGGTGTGAGAGGACAAAAGTCAAATGAAATAACTGTCGAGAGATGGACTGATTAAAATGAAATTGTGAGCTAAGGTGAGAGAGTGGGATGAAGTTACGTGAGATACACTAGAATCCTATATTTCGTGCATAGATTGTGATGTAATCGAGAAGGGACGGTGGAGAGAAAAGTAATAATTGCCTGTGAAGATTGTGGTAAATGATAATGGGTAGGGGCGTGTGTGAAGTCAGGAGGATTAATGCTCTGTTTTATACAACCACCAGTCCGCTGTCCAGGCCCGGTAAAACAGTGTCTGAACCAGCTACTTTCACTGGCGTAGCCAAGTTCTATACCGTTTCAGCCCCAAGTGACTTCGTCATAGCTTCATGTGAATCCAGCCAATCGCATTCTCCTGGGAACCCCACAATGTGATTGATGCCTAAGCCGTCACACGGCACCGATTGAACCAGGCCCATCGGAAGCCCGTCCAGTCGGAATGATCTGATTTCTCCACAGACAAACAAAAGTACTTTTAAGTGAGTTACCGAATGAGGATGAAAGTTTCGGTGGGGTAGGGGTTGACTGTTCTTCCCCCATCACTGTCGGGGAACGTTATATCCTTGGCCTGTGATCGAGTGAGCTTATGAGGAGAATGAATGAACCCGGCTTTAATTGATCTCGGTCGATCGGGTAAGGATGCAAATCGCTTCAAGATGGATCGATAAATTGGTCACCATGCTCAGACGTGAATGTTGGTATGAATCATTACATTGGTGGATTCAGTCTAGTCCCTCAATAGCCTAGAGAGTAAATTCCATTGAGGCCGAGGTTCATTCGAACAACACCGCTTCCTTTGAACCAGATGCAATTGTCTGCGTATCTCTAGCATTGAAAGGTATAAGGATATAGTGATGGAATCAATGATACTTCCCCTGAATGGCAAGATCAAATGTGACCCTATTCACCAGCTAACAAAAATTTCGTTTTTCTCTGTGATTCGCGGATCAACCATTGCATTCTATCCACAATACCAATGGAAACAACTTATCACCTACAGCTGCTATCTTGGTTGCTAAGTTTCGTCGCATAGGTTCTTCTCCTTGTCGCACCACTTTTCATCGTCAACGCAACTTTTCACATCACAACATCTATGCAACCCAAATAGTTCTGGGAGTGAGAGATGTGGTCATAGGAATAATGCACAGTTATCCATGATCCTACAAAAGAGGATAGCTTTCTGCCGGGTGCTTCATGGGTATTAGGTTGGGGTAGGTATAGTATTCGACATACGGTTGCCCTAATAATGATCAACGACGTTTTCCTACGTGAGAAAGAGTAAAGACAGATACAGCATTGATCGCCAAGACTCAGACTGGCTACAGTCTAATTTGACAAGGTGTATCATCCCCAAAAGAGGCACATTCTGAGCCATGAGAACACGTAAATATATGCAATCCTTGTAAGCGGATGCAGATAACAACTTATTCGGAGTCCAAGATCGAACGCAAGCACACTACCAATAAGTACCTGATCAAACCGTTTTCCACTTCATATATACACGCTATAGCACAAACCATATATGTGAGCTTAATAAAGACATCACGGACCGCGCATTCCAGCACCCAGGTTCTCTTTGCTGATGAGACCGGGCGGTAGTGGACTGTTGGTAAAGTCACGCATTACCGCTCCCAAGAACGTGTGTTCTAATCCCACCAGCACCGCCTGTCTTTCTCCATTTTGTATATTGACAGTTCTTTGTTTGGCCACTTCTCCCTTCCTGAAAAATTGTATCTTCGTATACTCAATAAAACGAAATAAACCTGATAAAAGATAAAAAGAGACCAACTCAGCTGAAAATAACAGCTCACTTAATCTAAGCTATTCATTTCACACTTCATTGACTCTCTTCAACACGAAATTCGTTGCACAAGTAAAGCAAATCGTCCATCAGCGTCGTATAACACCAGGCTCAACAAACCTCCGTATTTTAAGCCTCAGCTTCAATATTACCCATTCGAATTCACAGTTCGATTTGCCTGTAGGCTCTCACTCGAGGTTGAAAAGCTGGGTATTGCACTACAAAATAATTTCTCGCATCTCCTTCTTTACCGTAGAACTGTCACTATTAAACTTTTTATTAACTTTGTTCCTTCAGGTAGAAGGTGATGGTTAACCTTGACTCGGTCCTAATCCTGATTTGCCTCATCCCTATTCCACCCACCCAACATAGCTTGTTTGGAAACCACACAAATCAAACTAGCTATATCTATCGATCCAATCTGCACAAACATCAAACTATATACAAAACAGATTTGCCCATTACCTATTTATATCTTCACTCTTCGCCAAACTCTGGAGCACTGACATTCTTTTTGTAGACCCATCATCCATGTCTTTCTCGATCTGAAAGCAGATTTCGACTCGGTCGATCGTTCTAAACTCTGTTGCTGCCTTTCCCTGAAGAGGGTACCTGAGAAGTTTATTTCAGTATTACAACCCCTTTATACTAATAGCCGAAGTCGAGTCCGAGCTAAAGGCACTATTTCGCCCGAGTGTTCGGCAAGGTTACCCTCTCTCTCCTTTGCTATTTAACATTATTATAGATTTGATGATGGAAAACACCCTATCCTCGTGCAGGGATAGTGGCATCGTTTTGCTCTCAGGTGGCAGATTGTCTGATCTGGAGTATGCAGACGACATTGTGCTACTATGTGAAGACCCTGGTAAGTTGCAAGCTTTTTTAGACAGCTTGAGCAACAGTGTAGCCATGTTCGGTATGCGTTTTGTACCTTCGAAGTGTAAAATGCTACTACAGGACTGGGTTGATCCAGCACCCAGCCGCACTCTAACTGGGGAAGTAATAGACCAGGTGGATAAGTTTTGTTATTTGGGCAGCTACATCTCACCTGGTAGACGCATCACGGATAAAGTGTCAGCTCGCATACAGAAGGCTCGGTTGGTATTTGCCAACTTGCGACATCTGTGGCGTCGTCGCGACATCCGGCTGTCTGTGAAGGGTGGAGTGTATGCCGTGGCAGTTCGGCCAGTTCTGCTATACGGCGCAGAAACTTGGCCATTAAAGAGGCAGGATAAGTGTAGACTGTCGGTGTTTGAACACCGCTGTCTACGCAGCATTGCACGAATCTGGTGGGGCAGTCGGACGAGTAATGCTGAGGTTAGGCGCAGAGTTTTAGGTAACCGTGGTGGCCTATTGGGGCAAGTGGTCGAGCATTATAGACCATGTTGGTTAGGGCATGTGCTAGGCATGTCACCAGATAGGTTGCCACAGCAATCGATATTTGCCGAGGCAGGTACTGGGTGAAAAATCCAAGGATGGTCAAGCGTAGACCTGGCATGAGGGTATGAAAACTCTGACCAGGGTAATGGGTCACATAGGTCCCGTTAGGCTCCCCGACTGGGGACTTCGGGATGATCGTAACCGATGGTTAGAGACACTGAGTGATATGGCTAAGTGTCGTAAACAGTGGCGTTCGTGCATCTTCTCAATTTCTTTGCAACCTTAGACCACTGAAATTCTCTATCTTCGGTTCGACTCTACATTCAACCTTCCCGTCTTCTCCTATTCTTCATTCAAATGGACAACCAAAAGACAGCAACCAAAACCGGCGCACGAAAGTGCATGGGTAATGGTTGCGCAAACTGAAACTGAGACACCCTGCTTCCATTCTCAGAGTCAACGTCATCCGTCTGTCAGACGATTCAGCATTTGGCACTCGGTCTGGCAGGCGCCCTCTCTTTCTGACAAGATTTCAGTCGTTCGCTGACTGTGCGGGAATGCTTGAGAGAGCAAGTTGAGGTAGAGTGGCTTTGCGCGTTTAACAGCCCAAAGTGAAACCACGTTCATTTGTATGGTCAGCTTATTAACCAGANGTCGTAAACAGTGGCGTTCGTGCATCTTCTCAATTTCTTTGCAACCTTAGACCACTGAAGTTCTCTATCTTCTGTTCGACTCTACATTCAACCTTCCCGTCTTCTCCTATTCTTCATTCAAATGGACAACCAAAAGACAGCAACCAAAACCGGCGCACGAAAGTGCATGGGTAATGGTTGCGCAAACTGAACTGACCTGCACATCACTTACACAAAGGTGAGGCATTTTCAATAGAAGATCTATTTCCGTGGTCCGATTCGGCGTTCTGATGCCTATCGCATCGGCTATACACCCCCGGAAGAAGGTTCCATTTAGACCGGTCATGTATAATTCCATCCGGAAGATTAAAGCAGGAAAATATGCTACCGCTTCCGTCAAACATTTGGATAAAGGAATGAGTTTAAGAAAAAATACATATATGAAAAACAA